ATAATTACATTACATTTAGGCCGGCCTTAGTTTTAAATGCGTCGTGGTGTTATTGTTTAATGTTGATTGCTATTGTTTTAATGTTTATTGCTTGTTTTATGAGTTTTATTTATTGTTGTATTTGTTATGCTGTTGTTTTATTCATGTGTTGGGCCTCGGCCTCTTGTAAGCCGCACCGAGTCCTTCGGGAGATGTTAGCGGGGTATAAATAAAGGACTATTATTATTATTATTATTATTATTATTATTATTATTATTATGGAATGTGGCCATACAGCCTGGAAAACTCACAGCAACCCAAGTTGAAATCCCTAAGGTTATAAAATCCAAGAGCTATGATTTCAGAATAGTTATTTGCACTTTAGATGAACATTTACTCCGTGCCATGCAATACCTTAAATATAGAGGGGATGCTGTTTTAAAACTTTTTTTTCCAACCCACAATTCAATAATAATAATAATAATAATAATAATAATAATAATGCAAAGACTCTGGCACAAACCAGTAAAGGTGGTCCCAGTGGTGATGGGCACACTGGGTGCAGTGCCTAAAGACCTTGGCCTGGACTTAAACACAATCGGCGCTGACAAGATTACCATCTGTCAGCTGATTGGGATCTGCACACATTACTCGCTGATACATCACACAGTCCTAGACACTTGGGAAGTGTCCGACGTGTGATCCAATACAACAGCCAGCAGAGTGTCTGCTGTGGACTCATCTTGTCGTGTTTCAAATAATAATAATAATAATGTATTGTCGAAGGCTTTCATGGACGGAATCACTGGGTTGTTGTAGATTTTTTCGGGCTATATGGCCATGGTCTAGAGGCATTCTCTCTTGACGTTTCGCCTGCATCTATCAAATGCTAGTCAAGGTGGTCAGTTGAAACATTCACACCTAGCTCCAGCAGACAAGAGTCCTTTGTCCCACCCTGGTCATTCCACAGATATATAAACCCTTTTTCCTAGTTCGAACAGACCTCACTACCTCTGAGGATGCTTGCCATAGATGCAGGCGAAACGTCAGGAGAGAATGCCTCTAGACCATGGCCATATAGCCCGAAAAAACCTACAACAATCCAATAATAATAATAATAATAATAATAATAATAATAATAATAATAATTTATTTATTTATACCCCGCCATCCATCTCCCCAAGGGGACTCAGGGCGGCTTACATGAGACCAAGCCCAGCAATACAGTAAAACAATATAACACAAGAACACAGCAGAAAATAAAGAAAAGAAAAATAAAATACAAGAACTAATATAAATAAACACATTTAACACCTGTCAAATATAACAACAACAACAGCACATTGTTAAAAGCCTTTCCTAATGCTGTGAATTATTTATACGACTCACAATTATGAAGTTCTTGTTCTGTAATTCCAAATTTAGTTTTAGGTGCTCTGTATTGACAAAACGGAGTCGAATCCAAGTCTTGCTGCTATGTGTTTATATATATACACACTGTGCCTGTGTCTATGGTAATTCTCATTTGTTACATATCCATATGTTTTATGTTATTATGATGTTATTGTTTATTGTTCGCGTTTTCGGTTGTGTTTTGGTTTTCTTTATTGTAATTGTTGTTTGGGCCTAGCCTCATGTAAGCCACTCCGAGTCCCCATCAGGGAGATGTTGGCAGGGTATAAATAAAGATTATTATTATTATTATTATTATTATTATTATTATTATTATTATTATTATATGATGAAGCCCTATATCATAAGATTGATGTTTCGGGGCACCGAGGGACAAATGAACAGCGCGCCACTTATATTTCTACCCTGTCTGGGGAAATCCTAGGTCTGAATATTTTAATTTGCAAAGATTTGCAAATTAAAAATATTTGCATGCAACCGTAAACACGCCTCCTTTGTAAATTCCCAGCACGCTTCTATGGACAAAGCCCACTCATCTGTCTTTCGTGTTAATTGAATTACATTGGGCCACATTCAATGATCCAATATAAAATGCAAATAAGCTCAACAGTTGACAATACATACTAATTGGCTCATTAATTACATTGGAGAGCAAGGAGGAAACCGAAAGTGTCACCAGGCTCAAGGCGTCGGTTAATTAACGGCAATGTTTTTAATTAGGAATCATAATCCCAACCATAAGCCCCTGATTGGCTTTATGGAAGGTCGGGAACATTATTCTTATTGCATTGTTGCCCCTTTTGGGCCCGTCCGTGGCATCACGGGACCCATTGCAGACAATACTCCTAATTGTGGCCAAGAGAGAGGGAGCCTTGCCAGGGAGTAGGGCCGGTGTGTCAACCATGGGAAATCCCTCCCTTCTCCTTCCCATAAAGGAGTTTCTAATCACGCAAAGGGTTTTGGAGAAAGGCAAACAGCCCCAAACATCAATATTCCCAGGCAGCAGCATGGAAACCCTTTCTGTGCGCATTCAGATGAAGACCCACAAGCCACTCTAAATACCTTTGCAGAAGCATATGAGAAGCTCGGCCTCTCACTGAACATCAAGAAAACCAAAGTGCACTTTAAGCTATTTAATCTCAGCAGACTGAAAGCCAAAACCAAGGTCACAACAATATCTGTTATAGAACTCCAATATGCCGATGATAGCGTAGTCTGTATGCATTCAGATGAAGACCCACAAGCCACTCTAAATACCTTTGCAGAAGTATACAAGAAGCTCGGCCTCTCGCTGAACATCGAGAAAGATTCGGACAGATGGCAAGCTATTTAACCTCAGCAGACTGAAAGCCAAAACTAAGGTCACAACAACATCTGATATAGAACTCCAATATGCCAATGATAACATACTCTGTGAGCATTCAGATGAAGACCTACAAGCCACTCTAAACACCTTTGCAGAAGCATACAAGAAGCTCAGCCTCTCACTGAACATCGAGAAAACCAAAGTGCTCTTTAAGCTATTTAACCTCAGCAGACTGAAAGCCAAAAGCAAGGTCACAACAACATCTGTTATAGAACTCCATTATGCCGATGATAACATAGTCTGTGCGCATTCAGATGAAGACCTACAAGCCACTCTAAATACCTTTGCAGAAGCATACGAGAAGCTCGGCTTCTCATTGAACATCGAGAAAGATTCGGACAGATGGCAAGCTATTTAACCGCAGCAGACTGAAAGCCAAAACCAAGGTCAAACAACATCTGTCATAGAACTCCATTATGCTGATGATAACGTAGTCTGTGCGCATTCAGATGAAAACCTACAAGCCACTCTAAATACCTTTGCAGACGCATACGAGAAGCTCGGCCTCTCATTGAACATCGAGAAATATTCGGATAAATACCAATAAAATTACATTAATTGAGGCATCAGAGGGTTAAATGGTTTTGAATCTATATAAATAAAAATGTAATGTTAGTTTGTGGGATTAACATAACTCAAAAACCACTGGGCGAATTGACACCAAATTTGGACACAAAACACCTATCAGGCCAACGAGTGACCATCAATCATAAAAACACTGAAAAACACAGTGGAAGGGATTTAAAAACCTAAAAACAAAAATACATTACAACGCATGTGCAAAACCATATATATATATATATATACACACACACACACACACACACACACATATACATGCAAACACACATATACACAAATATATACACACATATACACATATATACAAAATACACAAACACAGACTGGGCCACAGCAATGCGTGCCAGGGGACGGCTAGTATTTACATAAAACTGTAATTTAAGATAGGACTGTCCAGCTCTGATTAAACTGTTAGTCTTACTTCTTCAATGTAAACATGCTTACGTTTCTTTCCAATAATAAGAAAGGGAGTAAAATAATAAATGTAATAATAATAATAATAATATAGTAAAATAGAAATGTAAAAATAAAAATAACAGTAATAATAGAGTAAAATAACAAATGCAATAATAACAATAAAGTAAAATAATGTAAATGTAATAACAATAATAGACAAAAATAATAAATGTAATAATAGTAAGAAATAGATTAAAAAATAAATGCAACAATAATAATAATAGAGTAAAATAATAAATCTATATAAATAAAAATCTAATGTTCGTTTGTGGGATTAACAGAACTCAAAAACCACTGGACAAATTGACACCAAATTTGGACGCAAGACACCTATCAGGCCAATGAGTGTCCATCACCCCTAAAACACACACAAAAAACCCAGCAGAACAGACTTAACCCCCCCCCCCCAATAAACTATATATACATACACACACACTCATATACATATACACATGTACACATACATACATACAGATGCACACACATACAAGCTCAGACACAAATATACTCATACATATACACATGCACACATACATATTTAGTTACATATATATATATGCACACATACACACATATACATATAGACATACATACACACATATATAAACAAGTGCACACATATACACTATATACATATACACATATAAACATAGAAATACACAAATATGGACACACATATATATAGCCATCTATCTATATATCTATCTATATATATGCAAACACACATATATACACATATACACAAATATACACACACACATACACATATATACACACAAAACATATACACAGACTGGGCCACAGCAACGCATGGGAGGGGATGGCTAGTGTAATAATAATAGAGTAAAATAATAAATGTAATAATAATAATAATAATAATAATAATAATAATAATAACAACAAATAATAAATTTATAAGCTGTGGGGGCTGGAAAACTCGGCTTATACTCGAGTGTATACGGCATGTTAAATGTTTTCTTTAATTCCTCTTACACATTTGTAAAAAAAAATTTGAGGACATGTAGGGTTCCAGTGTATCCTGGTTGAAAAACCTTCGAGTGGAGAGCATTACCAAATTGTCGGAGTTGTCAGGGAAAGAATAACTCAGGCTCCACAATTACATCTCAGGCCGAGTAAGAAGAAACAAAGACTCCCTCTAATTGGAGTTGGCAACCTCTGCTAATCTTGGGAGCAATGCTCTTACCTGATTATCCAGGTGGTTCACCGTGAAATAGCCAATGCACACAATGACTTCGTGTAGCAGAGCTTCGCAGGTATGCTGGGAGCAGTGCCACAATAAGGAGCTTGTAATGTGCCGGAAGGCGAGGGACAATCCTTCTGCGCCAACGACGGACTGCAAGACAAAGAGAAAGAAGCGTAAGGGCTCCTCCGTCTCCAGATCCCACATGGAAGCGACAAGAGCCACCCTTGAGAATCACATGAAGGTCCACCTAAGCATCATTAGGTGCATATCCGGGGTCGAAGAACAGTCACTGTCCCCTACCACACGTTGCTGTGGCCCAGTCTGTGTATATGGGTTTTGTGTGTGTATATATTTGTGTACATGTGTATATATGTGTGTTTGTGTCTATATGTGGTTTTGTGTATGAGTTGTAATGTATTTTTTTATTTTTTGGTCTCTTCTGCTGTGTTTTTACAAGTGAAGGTCACTCGTTGGCCTGAAAGGTGTATTGTGTTCAAATTTGGTGTCAATTCATCCAGTGGTTTTTGAGTTATGTTAATCCCAAAAATGAACATTACGTTTTTATTTATATAGACTAGCTGTCCCCTGCCACGCGTTGCTGTGGCCCCATGGGGGTTCTGTGTGGGAGGTTTGGCCCAATTCCATCGTTGGTGGGGTTCAGAATGCTTTGTGATTGTAGGTGAACTAAAAATCCCAGCAACCGCAACTCCCAAATGTCAAGATTTTATTTTCCCACCAGGGCAACTCCCAAATCTTAAGATTCTACTTTCCCACAAAGTTCACCAGTGTTCACATTTGGGCATATTGAGTATTCGTGTAGAGTTTGGTCCAGATCCATATTGTTTGTTTCCACAGTGTCCTCTGGATGTAGGTGAACTACAACTCCCAAACTCAACATCAATGCCCACCAAACCCTTCTAGTGTTTTCTGTTGGTCATGGGAGTCCTGTGTGTCAAGTTTGATTCAATTACATCATTGGTTGAGTTCAGAATGCTCTTTGATTGTAGGTGAAGTATAAATCCCAGCAACTACAACTCCCAAATGACAAAATCATTTTTTTTGAGTGATGGACATACATTGGGTTGTTAGGTGTCTTGTGTCCAAATTTGGTGTCAATTCCCCCAGTGGTTTTTGAGTTCTGTTAATCCCACAAACGAACATTACATTATTATTTATACACATTGACTAGTAGCTGCTGCATTTCCAACCTTTGTCTTATACTTGAGTCAATACATTTTCCCAGTGTTTTGTGGTAAAATTAGGTATCTTGGCTTATCTTCAGGTTGGCTTATACTCGGGTATATACGGTATATGGCGGGACATAATCAAGAGGCGGAAAAGTCCTTCCTCACTTGCTTTGTTGGATGTGGGAGGAGAAATCAAGCCCGAGCGGATTACAGTGGAGGGGAGCCCACTTGATCTGCGCAGAGCACAGCCTCTATTTAATAAACATGTCATCCAGAAAAAAGCGACACGGGGTCAAAGGGGGGAAAAGTGATGCATGAGGAAGGAACATCAAAGTCGACTGGCTGGGCTGGAACAAGGCTACAGGCCTGTGGGAAAATCACAGCCATTGAGGCCGGCTTGGCTCCTTGTCTTCCAAGTTGGGTTCGAAGGAAGAGCAGATGGATACCAGCCCCACATTCAGGATGCTTCCCACAACAATTCCCACCCTCCAGCCCGGTTTTCTATGCAAAAAGATACACTTTTCATGATCCGCAGAGTGAGCGGGGCCTGAACCAGGTTCACACTGCAAGGGAAGAAGATCTGGACTAAATCAGGAGTGGAGAATTGTGTAAGAGTGTGGGCCCGTTTTGACAATTGCGTGCCCCATGCCAACAGAAGTGAAAGGCGTTATCATTTTCTATTTTTTTCCAACTGTTTAAAAAATAATCCAAGCTGTTCTTGTTGGAATTGAACTCCACATTGCTCAAGTCTGCAGTCCTCAATGAGGAAGTTTAGTTGGCTTAGAATAGTCAGAGGGTTTCCCTTCCCTGTGTCTCCTGAATGACAGTTGGACTATATTTTGTTCTCGTTCTGCTCTCATTCTGATTGGCTGTTTAAAATGTAGATTTTTCTACTGCAAGTTTTTGGAATCTGACTTCTGCCTTTCTTACACTTGAATCTGAAGAGTATGTGCTGTGTGGGTTGCTGTAGGTTTCTTCAGGCTATATGTCCATGTTCTAGAGGCATTCTCTCCTGATGTTTCGCCTGCATCTATGACAAGCATCCTCAGAGGTTGTGAGGTCTGCTGGAACTAGGAAAATGGAATGAAAAGGGTGCCTGTTTAGCCTGAAGAAGAGAAGGCTGAGAGGAGATATGATAGCCATGTATAAATACATGAGAGGAAGCCACAGGGAGGAGGGAGCAAGGTTGTTTTCTGCTTCCCTGGAGACTAGGACGCGGAACAATGGCTTCAAACTCCAAGAGAGGAGATTCCATCTGAACATGAGGAAGAACTTCCTGACTGTGAGAGCCATTCAGCAGTGGAACTCTCTGCCCTGGAGTGTGGTGGAGGCTCCTTCTTTGGAAGCTTTTAAACAGGCTGGATGGCCATCTATCAGGGATGATTTGAAATGATTAGAATAGACTACTGCAACAACGCACTCTACGTGGGGTTGCCTTTGAAGACTGCTCGGAAGCTTCAAATAATCCAACGAGAGGCAGCCAGGTTAATAACTGGGGCGGCATACAGGGAGCATACAACTCCCATGTTACGCCAGCTCCACTGGCTGCCAGTTTGCTACCGGGCACAATTCAAAATGCTGGCTTTGGCCTATAAAGCCCTAAACGACCCTGGCCAAAATTACCTGTCCAAATGCAACTCCCTCTATGTATCATCGCGGAGATTAAGATCCTCCGGGGAGGCCCTGCTTTCCGTCCCGCCATTGTCACAGGCGCGATTGGTGGGGACGAGAGACACGGCTTTCTCGGTGATTGCTCCCTGGCTATGGAACTCCCTTCCTGGTGAGATCAGGTTGGCCCCCTCCCTCCTGTCCTTTAGAAGGATGGTAAAAACTTGGCTGTGGGACCAAGCTTTCGGGAGAGGGCAATGAAGCGACAATGAGAAAGATGAAAGGGCCAAGTGGATTTGATGCGGATGGCTAGGACGGTTTTAAATTGTGCTATTTTAAATGATGTATTTTAATATTTAGATAAATGTTTTTTAATGTTTATGTATTGTACCCAGGTATTGAATGTTTGCCATGTATATGTTGTGCTCTGCTCTGAATCCCCTTTGGGGTGAGAAGGGTGGAATATAAGTGTTCGAAATAAATAAATAAATAAATTGAATGCAATATTCCTGCTCTTGGCAGGGGGTTGGACTGGATAGCCCATGAGGTCTCTTCCAACTCTTTGATTCTATGATTCTATGAAAGAACTCTTGTCTGCTGGAGCTAGGTGTGAATGTTTCAACTGACAACCTTGATCAGCATTTGATGGCCTGGCAGTGCCTGGGGCAATCTTTTGTTGAGATGTGATTAGCTGTCTCTGATTGTTTCCTCTCTGTTGTTTTGCTGTTGCAATTTTAGAGTTTTTTAAAATACTGATAGCCAGATTTTGTTCATTTTCATGGTTTCCTCCTTTCTGTTGAAATTGTCCACACGCTTCTTGTGTATTTCAATGGCTTCTCTGTGTAGTCTGACATGGTGGCTGTTGGTCTGGTCCAGCATTTCTGTGTTCTCAAATAATATGCTGTGTCCAGGTTGGTTCATCAGGTGCTCTGCTACGGCCGACTTCTCTGGTTGAAGTAGTTTGCAGTGCCTGCAATGTTCCTTGATTCATGTCTGGGCAATGGCATTGAGTTTGGAGGTCCCCATGTAAACTTGCCCACAGCTGCATGGGATACGGTAGACTCCTACAGAGGTGAGAGGATCCCTCTTGTCCTTTGCTGAACGTAGCATTTCTTGGATTTTCTTGGTGGGCCTGTAGATAGTTTGTATGTTGTGTTTCTTCATCAGCTACTCTCTTTGGTCAGTGGTTCCCTTGATGTATGGCAAGAACTGTCAGGTTTTACAATGTATTGTAATGTAATATAGCTGAGTCATGCACTGCTAATGGGCTTCTATTGGAAATGCTGAGTCATGCATTAACTGTATATAGAACTACATTTGGGGAATGTGTTCTGGCCTAGTCCAGGTGATTGTGAATGATGCAATCCTGGGTTTGAGTTAAGTTAATGGGTTAGGAACCAATCAGAGATTGCTATGTGTAAATGAATTGTATATAAGGAAGTCATGTACAGTGTATATTTCTCCTTGTGCTGTGATGTTGTCATCGAAGGCTATATGTAATTAAAAGAACCTGTCTGCTAAGACAAGATATAACTGTATGCTGTGGTAAGTTTGTAATATCATCTAGATTGGGGGAAAGACAATGGTAAAGCTGACAATGGCCGGGCATGTGCTCAAGTGTATGTAAAAGGTTCCAGAGTGACTGCAGGATGTGGGAGCAGTTGACTGAAAATACTGTGCAGGAAGAATCTACTGGAAAGCGCCGAAGTTGTGCAACTGATCTGCTGCTGAATTGTGAAGTTAATCTCAACAAGAACCCTTTTCCTCTGGGTGGGTCTTTGTCTTGACTCTCCTGGCTTGTTCTTGATCTTGCAGCTCTTCTGATGTCTGAGGTGGAGTCTCCATTGGCCTGGAGAGCCCAGTTGAGGTGGTTCAGTTCATCTTGGAGGAGGTGGGCTTCACAGATTCTTTTTGCACGGTCTGCCAAGGCTTTAATGGTGCTTCTTTTTTGAATTGGGTGATGGTTGGAGTTTTTGTGTAGATATCTATCTGTGTGTGTGGGTTTTCTGTAAACATTCTGTGTGCTTTGAGATCTCTCTCTGCTTGTGTGTCAGCAGAGAGGTAACGATTGAGTTTCCCCCTCTCTTGAAACCTCAGGAGCGATGGGTGTTAGAGGAGCTCAGGTCCAGTTCTTCATTTTCTGTCTTATTATTCTAAATAAAGCTTTTATGATTTTTTTAGGTGACGAGATCTTCTTGAATCCATCCTTTTGTTTTTCTCCCACAACACATGTTCCTCAAGTCTCCAATCCAAGGGTCCCGTGTTTATGTCTCTGCTGATAACCACAGGCCAGGGGGCAGAGGAGTTTGTATATAAAGCCTGAAAAGCCATTTCTCAAGAAAACAATATGTTTCCTCTTCAGCCCGTGTTAATGGCCGTTTGGTATATCCTGTGTTGCTTCTCCCTGACACCTTCTAATGGTTTAGACACTCAAGATAAATGTATCTATAGATTTGGGGATTACTTGCGCTGGTGGGAATTTTCATGAGCCCATTGTCATGCGCCTGGGTTTTGAGGAAATATTTGCAGGCCACGACTGCTGAACAACCAGACATACACAACGCAGCCTGGGAGTGATCCTGGACTCATCGCTGAGCCTGGAACACCAGGTTTCGGTGATGGCCAGGGCAGCTTTTGCACAGTTAAAGCTTGTGCGCCAGCTATGCCAATTCCTTGGGAAGTCTGATCTGGCCACAGTGGTCCACGCTCTGGTTACATCCCAAATAGATTACTGCAACGCACTCTACGTGGGGCTGCCTTTGAAGACTGTTCGGAAACTTCAACTAGTCCAACGGGCAGCAGCCAGATTGCTCACGGGAGCATCATATAGGGAGCAACCACCCCCACCCCCCTGTTACGTCAACTCCACTGGCTGCTGGTCCATTTCTGAGCACAATTCAAAGTGCTGGTCTTGGCCTATAAAGCCCTATACAACTCCGGGCCAGCTTATTTGTCTGAACGTATCTCCCTCTATGTTCTGCCTCGTAGTCTAAGATCTGCCAGGGAGGCCCTGCTCTCGATCCCACCAGCTTCTCAAACCCGGTTGGTGGGGACAAGGGACAGGGCCTTCTCGGTGGTGACCCCCCCACACCTGTGGAATTCTCTRTCCAGCGAAATTAGATCAGCGTCCTCCCTCCTTTCTTTCAGAAGAAACCACCCCTTTCAGCCCAGAGGCAACTTGGCGCGGTTCACAATTTTATTTATTTATTCCCTATATTTATACCCCGCCCTTCTCCCCCCGAAGGGAGACTCAATTGGCAACAATTTGATGCCTCAATAATTATAACAAATAAAACAATAATAAAATATTGTTAAAAACATTAGCATACAATATAAGAATATAAAAATATATAAAAACATTATCGGGAACGTCTCCACGTCAAGTCATTATTCAATTGCGTCGTCAAGTGGTTCCATGATTTCGTATAACTATGGGGTATTTGGGAAGGCTGGCTCAAAAAGCCAGGTTTTCACCTTTCTTCAAAAAGTCAGGAGGGAGGGGGGCAATCTTATATCCCTAGGCAGGATGTTCCACAGTTGAGGGGCCACCACTGAGAAGGCCCTGTCTCTCGTCCCCGCCAAACGCATCTGCGAGGAAGGCGGGACCGAGAGCAGGGCCTCCCCAGAAGATCTTAACATCTTAGATGGTTCATAATGGAATAGAATTCCCCTGCTTTTCAAGTGTTGCTCTTTATTTGCTCTCCTGATTTACAGTAAGCTGTTAGGAATTGTGGGAGTTGAAGTCCACAGTTCCTAACTTCACAGGGCCGAAGTATGCCCATGCTTGCTCTATCATAATAATTGATCCGTAAACACGAGGACAAAAGAAGTCCCTAAGTCTTTTGTGTAGTATCAAGCCATGTTTTTGAATATGTGTTTGCGGGTAGTTGCGGTGAGGATATATTACCTGGAAAGCCTGCAAGTTGAGGACCGCAAAGCTGTTGAAGAAGCGCAAGCTCTGGAGGGCAACGAGGACCGTATTCTCCACGTAGCTCTCTTTGGGGCTGGCGGCACTGAGGTCCACAATCGTGCCGTGGAAGAGAATGCAGTACAGCATGTGCAAGACGCCCACCAGGTCCGTGGCCTCCAGCGCGGCCGTCAACCCTGTCGGATCCTGTCGGGATTCATCAAATATGTTCCAAGATCTGTCCAAAAAAGCAAAGCAGAGGCCACGCCATCAGCTGTTGAATATTATTCTCAAGATCATTTTCTCCCAAAACTTGACATACAAACAAACCAACTTTTTTGAGATATGAGCTGTCACTCGATTTTTGATTTGACATACAAGCAGAGATTTGAGTTACAAGCTAGTAAGTGGACACTCCTGCCACATACACACATGCACATAGCCGCTCCGAGTTCCCTATGGGGAGATGGTGATGGGGTACAAAGTTTATTATTATTATTATTATTATTATTATTATTATTATTATTATTATTAATGTTCGTTTGTGGGATTAACACAACTCAAAATCCACTGGAGGAATTGACACCAAATTTGGACACAATACACCTATCAGGCCAACGAATGTCCACCACTCATATAAACATTGAAAAACACAGCAGAAGAGACTTAAAAAGCCAAAAAAACAAAAATAAACCCATCACAACGCATGCGCAAAACCACATATATACACAAACACACATACACAAATATATACACACACATATATGCGTATATATACACACAAAACACATATACACAGAAAGGGGAAGGAAGGAAGGAAGGAAGGAAGGAAGGAAGGAAGGAGAGAAGGAGGGATAGAAAGAAGAAAGGAAAGAGAGAAGAAGAGAAGGAGAGAAATGTAGTGAAGGAAGGAAGGAGAGAAGGAAATAAAAAAGTGAAAGGAGGAGGGAAAGAGAGAGGGAAGGAAGGAAGAAGAGAAGGAAATAAAAAAGTGAAAGAAGGAAGGAAAGAGAGAGGGAAGGAAGGAAGAAGAGAAGGAAATAAAAAAGTGAAAGAAGGAAGGAAAGAGAGGGAAGGAAGGAGAGAAGGAACAAAAGAGGGAGGGAAGGAAGGAAGGAAAGAGAGAAGGAAGGATGGAACCAAAGAGCAAAGGAAGGGAGGAAAGAAACAGGTAGATATGGAAGAAAGAAAAAGGGAAAGAAGAAGGAAAAGAAAAAGGGGGAAGGAAGGAAAGAGGGAGGGAAGGAAGGAGAGAAAGAAAGGAAAGAAAGGAGGGAAGGTTTGGCCACAGTCACTCATAAAAACACTGAAAAACACAGTAGAAGAGACTTAAAAAGCCAAAAAAATATACATTACAACGCATGCGCATAACCACATAAACACAGATATACACAAATATATAAATACACACATATACACAGGTATATACACACACAAAACACATATACACAGACTGGGCACAGCAACGTGTGGCAGGGGACGGCTAGTTTAATAATAATAATAATAATAATAATAATAATAATAATAATAATGTATTTTCACTTTCATTATGCGGATAGGTATTTATTTATACCCCACTTTATCTCTCTCGCAGGAGACACAAAGCATCTTAACATAAAAGTATCAATATGCAATTAAAAATATGCAAGTATGCAAACATTAAAGCAGGATAAAACATAAACAGTATTAAAACATTCCCAGGTAAAAACCGTTAAGATGTGTTCAAAGTTAATAGAAATGGTGGGGATATACTTCTCTTTCGAGACTGTTTATAAGGGGAAGGGCAAATATGATGTTTTGCTGACCTTTAGAAGAGGACTGTATAGGAAAGATTATAAGGATGGAACAGCAGTAATGGTATATCTACCAAGGGACTGAAAAGAGGGTCTCTTGCTTTGTGGAAACAGAAGAAATAGGTCAACATAATTCAACGACAAAGGGGAAACCGTTCCACTCGTCTCCTCCCATTCTGTTTCCTGGCTTAAAACTTATTCCCATGCAAACAATAAAGATGATGGGCTGAAGGTCGGCACTTCATTTTCTACACCTGGATGACATTTTTAAACCTATATAAATAAAAATGTAATGTTCGTTTGTGGGACACACATAACTCAAAAACCACTGGACAAAATGACACAAAATTTGGCCACAATACGCCTACTAACCCAAGGAGTGACCATCACTTAAAAATAACCACAAACACAGTGAAAGGAACTTAAAATCCAAAAAAGTTAGAAGATGACACAGCGCATGTGCACAAACGAATTCCATGGCCCCGCCCCCTCATACACAAGGACGCAGCAAGTGCGAGAGGCACTGCCAACCAACCAGGAGAGAAGGAGAGAAAAAGGGAGAGAAGCAAAGAAGCAAAGAGCGAAGGAAGCAAAGAGCAAAAGAAGGAAAGAAAGAGGTAGTGAAGGAATAAAGGAGAGAAGGAAAAAGGGAGGGGAAGGAAGAAAAGAGATACAGAATAAAGGGGAGAAAGAAAGAAAAAGGGAAAGAAGGAAGGAAAGGAGAGAAAGAAGGAGAGAAGCAAAGAGCGAAGGAAGAAAGAAAGAAGAAGAGAGAAGGAAAAAGGGAGGGGAAGGAAGAAAAGAGATATAGAAGAAGGAAGAGGAGAAAGAAAAAAAGGAAGGAAAGAAGGAAAGGAGAGAAAGAGGGAGAGAAGCAAAGAGCGAAGGAAGGAAAGAAAGAGATAGAGAAGGAAAAAGGGAGGGGAAGGAAGAAAAGAGATATAGAAGGAAGGGAGGGGAGAAAGAAAAAGGGAAGGAAAGAAGGAAGGAGAGAAAGAGGAGAAGAAGAAAAAAAAGAGGAAGAAAGAAGAAAGAGGAGAGAAGAAAAAGGGAGGAAGGAAGAAGAGAAAGAGGAAGGAAGGGAAAAAGAAAAAAAGGGAGGGAAGGAAGGAAGGAAGAAGGAGAGAAAGGAGGAAGAAGAAGCAAAGAGTGAAGAAAGGAAAGAAAGAGGTAGAGAAGGAAAAGGGAGGGGAAGGAAGAAAAAGAAAGAAAAAGAAGGGGAGAAAGAAAGAAAAGAGAAGGAAGGAAGGAAGAAAGAAGGAGAGAAAGAGGGAAGAAGAAAAGAGCAAAGAGCAAAGAAAGGAAAGAAAGAGTAGAGAAAGAAAAGAGAGAAGGAAAAGGAGGGAAAGAAGAAAAGGAAAGAGAAGAAGGAAGTGGAGAAAGAAAGAAAAGGGGAAGGAAAGAAGGAGAAAAAGAGGGAGAGAAGCAAAGAAGCAAACAGCGAAGGAAGGAAAGAAAGAGGTAGAGAAGGAATAAAGGAGAGAAGGACAAAGGGAGGGGAAATAAAAAAGATATACAGAAGGATGGAGAGAAAGAAAGAAAAAGTGAAGGAAGGAAGGAAGGAAAAGAGAGAAAGAGGGAGAAAAGCAAAGAAGCAAAGAGCGAAGGAAGGAAAGAAAGAGGTAGAGAAGAAAGAAAGGAGAGAATGAAAAAGGGAGACGAAGGAAGGAATGAGGTAGAGAAGGAAGGAAGGGGAAAGAAGGAAAAGGGAAGGAAGGAGGAAAGAAGCAAAGAGCGAAGGAGGGAAAGAAAAAGGCAGAGAAGGAAGAAAGGGGAGAAAGAAAGAGGGAGGGAGGGAAGGAAGGAAGGAGAGAAGGAAAGAAGGAGACAAAGAGGGAGGGCCACAGCAACACATGGCGGGTATAGTTTGTGTGTGTGTGTGTGCGTGTATGTATGTATGTGTGCGCGCATGTGTGTGTGTATGTGTATATATATCTCTCTCAGAAAGTCAAAAAGAGAACAGAGGTTTTTAGTAGACATCACTATGGAAGGACCCTGAAAGTTCTACAAAAGGGGGCAAAGCATCCAAATCAAGCAAAGCGGCATTGGCAAACCCATAGACCACACCGAATCCTGCGTGCCAAAAGGGGAAGCCATGAATTAACCAAACTGGTAGAAGTACGAGGAATGCAACGGCGCCTGCCATGCTTAAATCCTGTGGTTTTCAGTGGGATTTAGCCTCCCTCTGGATGGCACCCAATACTAATAGTTGCAAAAAGCAGGCACTCCACTTATCTTCCTAATGCATACCATTGACAGCTAATTTCAGAAAGACGGCTAAAACAGGTCCAAAAGGACCGCAGTTTGCACTCTCCTTCAACAAACATGTAAAAATTATTGATGCCAATGGTACGAGGGGTGTTCATTAAGGATTTCCCCTGACCCACTTTTATTTATCACAGGATGCTGAAACTGCACATGCGTCATGATACAAGTCTCTATAGGTGATGTGCCAATTTACAACCCAGAACTGAGAATGGTCTTGATGTGACAGGTGCTGAAGTGGAGTGAGGTTTGAGAATGGACCCAGAGGAATACAGAGAAGTCATCAAGTTCCAAAGGAGACATTCGAGGAGATAGAAGAGGTTTATGGTGAGGATTCCCCATCATACGATGGAGTCATACAATGGCATTATCAATTCAAATATGGTTGGACTTTGGTGCAAACAACTCCAATTCCAGGGCAACCGACCCCCCCCCTGCTATTGATGAACACACCATCCAGCAAGTGGAGATCGCCATTTTGGAAAATCACCACGTAAACATTCAACACCTAGCCCATAATGTCAAGATGAGTGTGGGGTCTGTGGAAAGAATCACTCAAGACCATCTTCACATGCATAAGGTCTCCACTTGCCGGGTCCCAAAGCTCCTTCCACCCTTCCAGAAGCAGGAACGAATCGAATTTGCTCTCATGCTCTATTGATAATGTTGTGCCATGGAAACCAGGAGGCTTTTGTCAACAGACTGATCACACAGGATGAAAGCTGGGTCCATCATCTGATCCTGAGACTCAAGTCCAGTTATTGCCATGGAAGATCATGAAGGCACGTGCCCAACTCTGGGAAGGCAAGGTCATGCTCACAGAATTTTGGGACCAGCACGGAGTCGGATTGATGGATTTCCTACCAAAGGGGACCATGATCACAGGGGCAGACTAGGCTTCACTGCTGTGGACATTGCGGGAGGCCACCTAAGCCAAGAGACAATATGGCATGCTCCCCAAAGGTGTCTGCCTTCTGCAAGACAATGCACCAGTTCATGACTAACATGTTGCCCAAACGGAAGTATGCTCCTTTGATTTTGACATTTTACCACATCCCCCTTATTCACCCAACCTCATGCTATCGGACTTCCACCTCTTTCCAACAATGAAGTTATTATGAAGGGCAAGCATTTTTCCAATGATGAGAATCTGATTTCCAAAGTCACAACATAATAATAA